CCCCAAAACCCCAAAACCCCAAAACCCCAAAACCCCAAAACCCCTTGTTAAAATAGAGAATTCTCGAGAAAGTTAATTATTAATTAATTAAAATTTAAATGAAAGGTAATTTTAGAAAAAATCAAATTTTTGTTTATCTGCTTTAGCAATCAAAGATGTAAGCAACTTCGATTTTGATGGAGAATATTTGAAAGACCACATCACTGAAGATCATGTAAGTCCTTGTGATTCCTCTTAATTGTGAGTTTAAAATACTTTTTAAAGGGATTTAAAATACTTGAAAATTAATGTTTTGAGCACTCTAAAAGCTTTTTTGATGCAATTTTAGATGGCTTAATGCCCTCAATTTTGTTCTTACTCAAGTATAGATCACTAAATTCCCGATTATGAACCACTGACAACACAGGGAAAACTGTTTTATGCCGGCTTTCGTTACCTGCAAAGAAAAGAATGTGAACGTATGAAGAGCATGTTTCGACCGGTTCCACCAAGACTGTAATCAAGAAAATCATAAAGATTTTATGTAAGTACAAATTTTGAACCGAAGGATTTCCTAAAAATTACTGTTCTGGACAACCATAAACCGGTTGATTGAAAAAATTCAAACTTTTATGAAAATCTTGTAATTTTTGGTATAATATAGAAAAATTACAAACAAAATTTTTTATTCTGAAAGAAAGTTTCTCGGCATATCCAAAGCTCTTAACCAGCTGATTTATAGAGTGACGTATCAGACAGATTCTCAAATCTTCTACAAGATCCACATGAATGAAGAAATTGGTATGTCAGAAGTTTTAAACAAGTTTTGATTTTTTTTGATCCGAGCATCCCGATTGCAGCGTATTTTCTGACGTTTTTATAATAAGATAAGAGTAGCTTAAGCCCAAACAATGCTTTAGGTCTGCTTGGTGTGTTCTAAATGAGGCTCATACCCTTCGATCCCCATACGTTATCAGTAGGATGAAGAGAGCCTAGCTAGAGACATTTTACAAAAAGCTCGTTTAAAAATTAAGATTACTCTAACGAATATTTTTTATAGTGAACAGGTTGTGTGCCACTTTGGATGAAGGGAAAGACCTTGCATATTATAGCTTGCTTGACCGTAATAGTATTATCAAGAGAAAGATGGCCATGGACGATTAGAGAGACTTTGGTTCGTAATCTCGAAAGCATTTAAGTTACTGAATAAATATTATTATATTTATGGGGTTTTGGGGTTTTGGGGTTTTGGGGTTTTGGGG